AATCTCATAATCGGGAAAATTTTTTGTGAAGGATGCCTCATGAGTTGGACCAGTCTGACAAGCGCATCTGATGACCGTGACTGAGTTTTCTTTTCCTTGTACACAGCGAAAGAACTTTTGTGAGATCTTGTGGTTGGTAGCAAGTGATGGATCTCTTGCGTACACCATGCACATGTCGCAGGACTTTCCGTCCAACCTAATAGCTTTTCAAATATCGAGAGAGCAGACATGGCCAAAATCTTGGTCTCATCTACCTTTAGGAAGAGAATAAGCAAGCGCAGCCTTCTTTCATACGATTGGCACAGACTCCTAAGCAAACGTTAGTAACAGTGTGGAGGTAGTGTGGTCGCAGATGGCATATCTAGCTCGCATAAGGCCCGACGATCAAAGCTCGGACCGGCTGACAAGAGCAACCAAATCTTCACCGTCCAGGGCGACAAACTGGTACCAGATTCTCATGATAGGATAAAAACGCCGACTCGTACACCAAGTGCCTGCGCAGGTCATCAAAATGACCACAATGCCACCACGACCACTACGACTGCGATTGGAAGTAGGATGCGTGCCCCATCTTCGAAAGTACTCATCAGCAAAGAAAGTTTTCCTTTACTCTTCAATTTAGCAGCTCTGCACATTATCTGTATCAGCAAAATGAGGACTTCGATGCAATCATCTTTTCAGGGAGTTATGTCAAAAATGTGCTTGATATCACCTCACTGGCAGACTCGGATCAAAGGCGTGCCACCAACTAGGTATTATTTTGTAGTAAAGGTGTTCGTTGCCGTTATTTGGTTCATTTGTGAGCAGGCCGCATGGTTTCCTGGACGTCTTCTCTTCTCTTTCCAGATTTCCTCACAGCCTATCAGTCGTAGAAAACAAAGCGTTTACGGAGCAGAACAAAGTATTCAGTGAAGAGCTTCTCAAACAGCTTGAACGTCAAGTGAAACGGGTGAGGGGAGTTCACGTATGCGTTAACTAAATGAATTACACTTCGGTACTGCAAAAGGTTTACGGAAAATTTTCATAAGCTGCCCAGCACCATTGCCTTCTTAGTCTTGGACCTTTTCGGCTCCAGAGTTTGAAAACATCACGCGTACAATCAGAACTCCCTAACAGATTCTCTCTTCTTACAATTTTTCTGGTTTTGTTGTCGCTTTGGCATTTTCTCTTCATAGACGGTTCAAATTGGCGAATTTTCTTCCACATTTCTGCAACATCACCTGGGCTTTTTATCGCGGACCGTGCCTTTAATATTGTTGAATTCTTTTTTGAGAATTGTTTTATACTGCAAGCATTTGCAACGGTGTAGATTGCGGTCACAAAAAGCTGGTCAACAAAAATTAGGACGCTCTCAGAAAGAAATACTTGATTATTTTTTGAGGTTTTCGCGTTCCACGATGTCAACCTGTTTCAGAACCATAACACGGAAGTTCGCTTTTATGAAACGCTGGAGAAATACAATGTGGACGACATCCCTATACCCAAGGTACGAAACTAAAACTTCTTCATTTCTACAGGTAAGGGTGCTCTCCCAACCGCAGAAGGGAAAGAATAGGCAATAAAATGATCTTCGCTGCAACTCCTGAACGTGCCTCGCTCACAAGAGGCACATTCAGGACTTCCGGCGCGGCGGACACTGATGCGGAGGGTGATAATGTGGAAACTCGCTCTGGAGACTGACCTCAGACACTGTGTCTTCAGCGCACGACACCTTCCTGAGCTTGACGACAGTGACTGATGGCTTCACCTTCTCATGACGGTGGGAGCAATGTTGTTCCTGTTATAGAGGGAAATTTGGCGGAAAATTTTTTGGGTTCTTTCACACGCTGTGTCTGTGCCGCGCAATCTTTGATGACAAGAGGAAGCAAAGTGTCTTTTTCACACCCCATCCTTTCCTTGTGTCTTTCATGGGAACTTCACAGCTGCAGGAGTTTCCGGTATGACTACTGCAACTGCAAGGTGCCAAAAATTTCTGCTAAAACTTTTTCTGTCGATACTTTTCAAACACGAGTGCAGCATCCAGTTTTGGGACATGATGTGGATGTACTCTCTGTTGCACTCAAATGTGAATTCCTCACGAAGTTGGTGAAAATTGGTGAGGTCAAATTGGCGCCGGCACCACTCTCTCACCCGAAGACCAATGTCATATTTGTGATCAGGACTTCAAAGAATCCTTGTGCGTTTGTTTGTAACGAGCCCAGTAAAAAGTCATCGCACCAAAGTTGCAAATGTTTGCAATGAGAGCACTGAATTACTCGTAGGGACAAAGTTTTAGCAAATTATTTTTTCGAAATCCGGAGGTTCACCAGTAGGATTTTCAGCAGCGCTTACAAATGACTCATGAAGATAGACTTTCACTCAAGCTTTCACAAAAGAAAACCCTCTGAATGGGTATATGATTATGGAATACATCGGTGACGGTACGGTGTATCACCTTCACGACAATCTTGCACCAGAGCACATGAACCAAGTCTGGTTTGCTTATAGTTATTACTTTAATAATTGCAGTTACTACTCTCAACTCTCCACATATTGTAAAAGGTGTTATTCCATCCTTTTCTAATATAGACTCGCCACTCCGCCGTAGAGCATCGCGAGCGTCACTACTGTCCGGTGTGTCTGGCCCTTGACTGTCCCAGAGCACCGTTGGTAGGTGAGGGCGACACTAGTGTACTCTCTTTAATCTCAGTCGCACGTAGCATTTACTCGGGCTTCCAAGCGCGGTCGACTGCTGTCACTGGCGCAATCGCATCCCAGGCATTGGGAGTCCAACTTCCTCTCGATTCCCAATTGCCATCTACGATTTAGTGGTTGTGCACTCTTCGTGCGCGCTCAGGAATTCGGTTTCTTCACTGCTCCCTTGGATACCATTCTCACGTCCCACCTCCTCTGCACCTTGTTCTGGAGTCTTCCCTGGTATCCGCTATCCCGTCAGCTTAGAGAGTCTTTTGGTGTCTCCTTCATCGTTATCACCCCCCGCGAGAGTACATTTCCTAGGTAGGAAATGATCTCAACGTCCCGGAGAGTTAGATAGCGGACTTGCCGCTCCCCTCGGCTACCTCTCTAATCACTTTGTCTGGCGATCTGATAACGACGTAGTGGTGTGACTTCTCGGACATGGAACGAGCCTGCTTTTGTGCAGACAGGGTAAGGATCACCGTATGCCCTGGTTTCTTCACCAGCACTCGCTACATTACCATGGCCACTTATATACCGTGGAAGGAACCACCGAAGTTTGAGAGCACCCTTAGGCGTCTTCCTAGCCTATGTTTGGAGTGAGTGAGATGCATATCTTCCCCCATGCGCACTTGACGTCCTTACATTCGGCTGTTATGTTGCTCAGAAGAATGCTATGCCAACTCACCTCACGCTCTCCAAGAGGTTCCTCTGTGTCAATCAGTACACAATCTGGACCAACTGCCTTCCTAACCTTCGCTCTTCCGAACTCTAGGTGGACTTCAACCCTTGTCCAGCACATGATAGGACCTGCCATCGTCCCTGTCGCTGTCCTTTCGAGGGGGCGGGAGCGGGAGATGAGGGGAGAGCGTTCGGAGATCTCTGGACGTACTCCTTCCAACTTCTCTCTCTCTCTCCACTTCCGGCCACCTTATCCTCTATAACGGCACCGTTGCAGCGTCTTCACCTTAATTAACTTCTCAAAAATGGTAAGAATTGCGTCTATAAGATCAGGAGGACCTCACAAGACTTCAGACCTTCAGGTTTACAGTTTTTTAACTTGGCCGAGGCTGTGTTCACCTCTTAGGTGCCCTCCTACTGTTTCCAGAACCGAAGAACAACAGCTGTTCGCAGATTTTGCCAAGGCAGGTTTTTCTTAAAAATGCTGCATGCAGCAAGAGCCCTACGGAAGAAACTCAGAAAGAGTGTGAAAGAGTCTTTAGGGTTATAGGCCGTAGTCAGATTTACAGCGTCTATAAACCAGATTGATAGTGAACCTTGGGCGCTGTTTGTCGACGGGGGGGCATTTTGTATTATCATTGCTTCCCTAGTTCCGGTTTACAAATCTCACTCTGGTAAAACTTGTGAACTCTTGTGAAGCTGAAGTAAGATCGTCTAGCCACTATCCTAAAACGTGTCAACTCGAGAAACGGCTGCCTAGATGGGTCGTCAACACATCTATGGAAAGCAAAATGCCCCCTGGTCGACATAAACGTCACAGCGTCTGATAACCAGTTTGGATAGTAAACCTGCTCCGACTTTGAGGCAGGTTGCGTCACATCTCAACCGAGTTGCATACATAAGGCCAAATCAACCGCTGAGTCGCAGCACCGCACACGGAGCACCTGTACGCCCGAAATTCGGGTTGAGTATGGGTATGCTATCCAAAAAAATCCTCCGTAACTTTATCCAGAATCGTAATGGTCGTCCAATAAGACATCAGCCGATACGCACGCCATATCCCGGAGATGCGAAGGGCGTGGCTAGGCACTTCATTTAAACATGGCGTAGAATGGGTTTTCATGAGATATCATGTTCCATTTGAGACAATTATGTCCAGAAGTCTGTAGAATACTGGACGAAGAAATGATCACAATTATCGAAATAAGGCAGTGACCCATTAAGAGTGCAGTCTGTTCCACATTCAAGCAAAGTTCGCAGTAACGCCCTCCCAGCTCTGGGAAATGAAGTCCTCGTCTGATTTTCGAAAATTACCTTCATTAAATGATTAGTTTTCCCTAGCTCCTGGGATGATTGGTTTTGTTTATCTAGTCGCAGGATAAAAATCCACTGAGAAGTGCAGATCGGTGCTCAATGAAGAAAATTTGAGGTCATGAGAGCTCTCGCAAAACTTCAAGCAATCGGCATGAAGTTCTCTGACGAGGAGAAAGCGCATTTCAAATTGCATCCGTATGTTGCACTTTTTGAGGGATTGCTCAATAAGGAGGTGACCTATCAAATTCTCTCTTCTTCCCATTGTTTCAGTGTTTCAGTGATGATCGCATTGTGTTTATGTTTCAATGCATTATGTTAAGGCAACGGATACATCTATCGAGATGCTGCGAGCGTTTGTAGGAGAGCGACTAAAGCATCAAGTAGATCAATTGGAAGCCATTCTACCCGAGTTAATGGATATAAAACTAGTCGAAGAACTGCCGAAATCACTAGGTAATCGTAAACATGAGCTTTTATTCCGTACTTGTGGATGGGAATGAACGTTGATGGCAGGTGGCGCCACGCCTCGTTGTAGGTCCTGAGCGACTAACTTCGAATTTAGATTTACTGGTAGAAACCAAAAGTAAGTAGGGTAACATAAGGCTGCGTTCATACTTTGCGGCAATGTCCACCAACGTCTACTAGTACCCACTAGCGTTCCGAGCGTACGGCAGCGTCAGCGACTAGGAGGTATTGATATCGATCTAGCATCTGCCAGCGTCGACCAGCGTCTGCCAGCGTTTCGAAGGCTAGGTGAACATTGGCATCAATCTAGCGTACGCCAGCGTCCACCAGCGTTCACCAGCGACCGGAATAGAATATAATAAAGAAGCAAACCCTGGATCAGGCGTTGTGAAATTGCGACGTGTGCAACCGCACGTACACTAAACTACACCGTACATTAAATTGCATAATTCTGTGCTTCAGCAGTTGCGCGGTGCGGTTGCACACGCCGCAATTTCATGACGCCTAATCCAGCTACCTCCTACTTCACCAAACTCTCTATTCGGTCGCCTTTGAAAGCTGGTGGAACTGGCAGACGCTAGATTGACACCTATGTTTCCCTAACATTGGGACACTGGCATACGCTGGGAGACGCTGGTAACCCCGGCATATGCCGACAAACGCAGAACGATATCTATGCTTTCCTAGTAGCTGACGCTGCCGGAGTTCAGTAGACGCTAGAGGGCGCGGGTAGACGCCGACGGACGCTGCCTCAAAGTATGCACGCAGCCTAAAGCACCTCATCAGCATAGGCTAGCATGTCTTCAAAAAATCTATGGTTAGGAAGGCCTCTTCCACTGACTCGCACCACTATTTCGGCTTTGAGTAAGTATAAAATTTGCTTCTGAAGCTGATTTTCTCTCCCTGGTTTATCTAGCTCCATCTGTCTTCTGCTGAGAGTTTAGATCTCTTATTGCTCTGATAGATTTGAATTGCACTGAATCCTTCATGAAAGCATCAAGAAGAGAATCCGATGTCACCATCCGCGAAGTTACCGCGTCCTATTTCAAGTGGTTCTTCAGGAATGGAGCCGGTCTTGTGTCATGGAGATTTCTGGGCAACTAATCTCATGTGGAAAAATAGCAAAACTAATCCTGAATTGAGAGCAGTGATCGACTTTCAGGTAGTTCCCTAACGGGTGTCTTGGACAAGTTCTCTATGTTATTCATATTCATAAACTTATTCAGAACATTCATTTCGGCTGCCCGGCCGTAGACTTCGTGCGAGTCTTTCTGTGCCTGTATGAGTGTTAGGGACCGCAGGGAAAAGTGGGAATCGCTCCTCGAAAAGTTTTACGAGTATTTAGAAGAGGACTTGGTCGATCAGGACATGCCATACACTTTGGATATGGTACGATATTCTTTGCTAATCAACTTATTGTGGATTGATGGTAGATGGTTTCAGCTGAAAGCGTCTTATCGACGCTTCTTCCCTCTTGGAGCTTTTCTTATGCTACCCATGTTCGCACCTACATTTCTAGTTGTTAACAGCAGCACTGATGTTGAATTCAAAGCAAGGGTGAGTCTCTGCAGACACAAATAAGCCGAGCAGGATGATCCTATCCCCTCAGTGAACTTCCATGCTTTTTCAGAATCAGTGTATCAGTCTGTACGGTTTCCACTTTTTGGTCATGGGATATGTGATAAGATTTACCTTTTAGCCGCTTCTTCCCTGCCGTTGCGTTGCGAAAAGGCCTGAAAGGCCTATGGAGGATCATTTATGAACTTCATCAGGAGAACAAGCGAAAAAACTGAAGCGAATAGCGATGGTGAAGCTATCGATGGCACTACTATTTACGTCCTACCTCCCAAGACTGGAGCCAAGAGTTCAATTTTCACAGAAGCTGTTTTGCAAGGATAGCTTGATCTTCAGAATAGGAATACCCGTTGGGAAAAATGCTTGCGTTTCTGCGGCAGCAAACACAATGTTCAATTCATGTAAAAGTTGAATGGTCAGGTTCGCCGAAACCTCGTGCTCGTGCGGGTAATCTGGGCACCTGAGCACCAGTGATTCCTCTCGAAGGGAAAAGTATTGCAACTGTGAGAGCCAGTTAAATGGCCCTCTTTATTTTGAGAATGCTTCTGAAGCACGGGCGTACATGTATGCTAAGAGTGTAACGGTCATGCTCGCAGGGGCAAACCACCTCCTGGGAAATTTCTGTAACCAAGTCCGATTTTGACTTTCAACCTCGGAAGTTGAAGCGGCAGCAGGTTATGTAGCAGCTCGTCATGGGCGGTAGGAGGTCATGTAGTAGCTCGTCAACTCCATGTTGGAAGGGCCGTCGTCTTCCTATTATGTATTGTATATAGAGATAAAATTGATTTTTATGCATTTCTGCAACCAATGGGCATGACTAAATAGTGGCTGGCCTTTTTATTGGCTTTTATACAGACGACAGAATGTGTGAAGCGTAGCTCGCGATGGGACTTGATCGTGCGCAGTCGGCGCCAACCGTATTGCTGGCGTCAATCTCTGGGATTGCGTGATCTTAGGCTGCGTTCATACTTTGCTGCAGCGTCCCCCAGTGTCTACTAGCGTCTCGAGGGATAGGAAGCTTTTTGCGGTACATAATCTAGCTCCTTTACCGAGGCATCCACGATAACTATAGCAGTATGAGGAAGTAGGAGTGTAGCAAACAAATTGAACTTGTGAACTGTGAACTACTGCGTTTGCACCGCCACGCAACAGATTGACAAAGCCACAAAATTATTGTGATTTATGCACGGCTGAGTGTAGATGTACGGTGCAATTTCCCACACAACGCCCGCTATTTGCACGCCTGTCTGCTACCCTCCTACTTCCCGATACTCTGTTTTCCCGGTCGCTGGTGAACGCGTGTGGAAGCTGGTAGACGCTGCCGCAATGTATGAACGCATGCTGAGCGATCGGATGTTGAAGTATGAATGCGATCGTACGGTGGAAAACTTTGCTCGTAAACCCAATAATCGTTTCTCGATGGTGAGGTGAAATCTCGGACATCCTAGAGTTCACCTGGAAAGATCTATGAATATATAGCGGAAAACGTTCGCTTCATTCGAAACTACTACCTAAAAACTTGTGAGTTGTAGGCTCAGTGATTGCTCCTACTATTTGATGCTAGCTCTCTACGTGCGAAGGAACGAGGAGATCTTGATTCATTACATTTGATTTACAAACTTTATTGTGAACTGTTCAGTCGACTGGCTCTCCTCTTTTAATCTTCATATTTCTGTCATGGAAGTACAAGATGTCATCCAGCAGACATTCTGTCTTCTCCATTATGGTGGCCAAACCCTAAAAAAGCGAAATTGACGTATAGCGGTGTTTAAAGCTATGGTTAAAACAAATATAGGCCGCAGAGTAACTGCGTTACCTTTGTTCGTTCATTTCTTCTCGTCTGGATTCTTGAAAATGCATTCGAAGAGAGGTCCTATCAATGGCACTAACAAGAAAGCTCCTATAGGGAAGAAGCGGCGATAGGCTTCTTTTAACTGAAACGGTTGATTAATCGACAGTGTTCTTTAATCGATAGTGTTCTGAAGTACGGAACCAAACATGGTACGGGGCTAAGAATTTCTATGAAGAGAAAAAATAAGCAAGAATCAAAATCGATGTGCAGAAAATGCTTATTAGAACTCAGTGTTGAACCGCGCTTGTACGTGCATGAGGCGAGGAAAGGGCATGGTCGGGTACTCACTTGCTACTGCCAGCTCTTTCTCCCTACCGCCTTACCCCCACGAAATGGAAAGAGGTATTAACGGAACAAACGTACCCCAGGGTACCTTTGAAAATGAAAAGCTGGGCGTTGTTGTGACCTGTGGGCGGGGTCATGGTTCCGTCGCAAGCCAGTCGCGAATCCCTCACGTGCTTTAGAGATACGAAAGTAGTACTTTCCATGCTTGCAGGCAGGATTACAATGTTAAGAAGGCGCACGGATAACAAATGAAAAACTGGGGTGCCTCCAAGAGTAATACGTAAAAAAATTATTTGGCAGCTCCTTCCTGAATATGTCTAAAACACTGTTCTGAAGTTCAGAGCGCGACAGCACTGTTCGTCATGGGCGTTGAAAATTTGGCGACTCCCCCCCCCCCCCCCGCTTTCTAACACGCTATTCCTCATCATATGCCCCTTGAACATTCACTTGCAATTACGAAATTTGATCCACGCTTCCCATACCACGAGGTCATACCTCGAGGTGAGCAGGGGTTGAAGTTCGCCTTGTGCGGTGGGTGCCTCCAAGTGAGAATAATGCCATCCTCATTTAACTCTGTTCGAGTGTGTATGGCATCTTTCCGCTGCCAACCTCCTCCTTGAGATATCCGTAGAAATCCTCTAGAAGTTCTTCCCAGTGTGCTTGCCTATCTTTTCCACTGAGGCATGCAGAGAACATGCGCACCAAATCGGTTACAGGACAACCAAAGTGAGCTATCTGAAAAACAAGTTCAGAAAATTCTACTGCGAGGCTGGGGTCGTTAGGACAAGAGTTTGATGTCATTTCTTATATGACGTATGTTGAGGAAGTGACACTTCCTCACCCTCCCCCCCCCAAAAAAACACCAACGCGGCGTACAAGCCGTGTGTCTGCGTTCTGCGCACCGCGTGAAGCCATTCGGCGATTTACATGAGCATATTGGCCATACATTTTCTTGCATAGTGCTTACCGAAAAGCTGACAGGGGTGCAGTTCGGCAAAGGGGGCCATGTTGACTTTCATTGCGCGACTAGTTCCAGTTTGCATACTTTTACCTGACCAAACCTGTGAACTCCTGTGAAGCTGGAGCAAGCTCATCGAGCCACAATGGTGAAACCTGTCAACTCACGAAAAGGCTCTCTAGATGGGTCGACACGTCGATGGGAAGTAGCAAAAGTGCAAAGTGCCCCCCCCCCCCCCCAAACCTACGCCCCGAACTACGCCACTGAACCGTACCTCTTCCCTTCACTTTTCATTCTTGAAACGACAGGCTTGAGTTACCTGATAGTCTACTAAACCAGCCAAGTTAAGCTGATCTCCGTTTTGCCTCCAGAGGATGTTCATAGACCACAAGTCTCCATGACACAGAACACGCTCCATTCCTGAACACCTTGTCGTTACAGTACTCGTGAAAATAGGAATGGGATAGCTTTAGAAGGTTTGGTGATCTCCGTGCAATCGTATTATCAATTAGATTCAACAAAGGAACCAGTTCACCATGTAAACCGCGCTAGACAACCGGATCTTTGGGTAAACGCTTTCGCGGGAAACTGCGGCGATTCATAGGCCCAAGAAGCAACGAAATTGCGAATTACGCTAAGTTTTTCAGAAAAAATGGCAAAAAGTAACGGGAGCACCACTTCTCACGTTAGATCTTCTTCTGGAAACTTTTTCTGAAGAACTGCGTGGTTAATTGAGAGTTAAGGTGTCTTTGAGTTCAGATTATTTGGTATTTAGGTATTGCACTACTATGCAGCAGAGTTAGAAGCACAATGCAGCCCATGGGTTATCAATTTGCTCCGGAGGCATCTTCTGCGCAATCTTGTAAAGGTTCCAAACAAATTTTCGTCTCCTTCAGTCATAGCTCATAAGTAATCACATATCACAAAAAAAACCGCAAAATATGAGGGAAGACCCACCGAGCTCTTCAGACAAATTTTCAATTGAATCGAGATCGACCATGTCGGGTAGAATCTTTGAAAAGCGATCAGCCTTCTCCTCCAACTTTCCATCGCCAAATGAGCGGAGCATTTGCCCTATGGTATCCAACACCTGAGTTTGCGTGTAGAGGAGCAAAAACTTCATTGATAATTGTTTGAACTATTTGCAAACCTTCTGCTCGAACATAGAACCAAAAACATTTTTGAAAGGTTGTTCAATAAGATCTGTTCGTTCCTCTATAGGAATATTGGGCGAATTTGCTTCAAAAACTGCAAGACAACGAAGAATCTGAAAGTATCGTCAGTTTTATGCTTGTGATCAGGATATTTCCAAACAAGCCACTGTGGCGTAGGCTAGTATATCGTGACCGTCATTGGTTGTTTCTTTTGAAATTTGTGAAGGGCCTTCCCACGCGCTACTTTGCAAAGCTTGTAACAGAAGCTGTTGAATGTTTGGAAAGTCAAGGAGGTGAAGCGCTTCACCAGGATGGATGGAGGGAGGACACTGAATGATGGCGAGGGCCGACGCTGAATGGTGAAGTAGTGCCAACATGATTTCATTCAGAATCGTAGAGGTGTCCTAACTTATTGAGCACTGGATAGACATTGTTGAGTCTCAATTAATTAGCTCCCAGTGAGGCGGACCGCTTAATCATCCGGGAGATTACGACCAACTACGGTTCCACATGCTCATCCGGCACAGAACCACGGATGGTCGGGTAACAGATTTCAAGAGAAACAACCAATGACGGTCCCGATAAAGTTCAAGTTTAATATGTCTTAAAGGCAGTGGGCACGATGAACTTTGCAAACTTCCCTGCACAAAACTGGGGCAGGGCATTGAATAGTACGATAGTAAAGGAAAGTGGAACGAAAGGTCGAAAACGCCCGAATTAGGGCCCCTACTAATGGCTCCTACAACTCAATCAGTAGAGAAAGAAGCGAAAAAAAATGTTGGGAACACCTTTACCACAAACCCACCTAGCAGTGGGGCCGGCGCCTTGGACGAGTTCATCATAGGGACAAGCCCAGTCAGCAGAAGTTCAGGTGCAACCAGTTCACAGCAAGAGCAAAGGAAATCACCCTACGACACTCCAGGCAGTGGCTATGTACACACGTTATATTCCGCTTGTAAGCCGTCGTCTTGCAGAGTTACAGTACGCGGTTGCACCGGTTGCAAAACTCACGCGTCTCTAGCTTCGTTATCTCGCCATTTCGAGTGACGAAAGTGGTATATTCTCTGCGAGTGCGGACAACGATGCCAAATGCACGGAGGCATTTCGCTGATCACTTGATCGCGGGAAGTGTCTTCAAGAAGGAACCCTCACGAAGGGAAAAAGGCGCCATTCAGCCACAGATTGAGGGTAAAAACACTTGATCCGATCATGCTCGATTGATCGGTGCAACCACTTATGGGCGTGTCGTTGTTGCTGGGTGGGTACTTCAATCCTTGATGGTTTGCTGAGATGCTTGGAGAGTGCTTTTCGTTGGATAGAACACCATGTAAGGCTTGCTCAAGGGTGCGGTATTCTTGAGCAAGCGGCGGATCGATCCTACTTGCCTACGGGGTTTATCTGCTCCTCTAACGATGGAAAAAGTATGCGAAACTGGACGTATTGAGTTCTTGGGCGCATAGGATAATGTTGCGGGTTTGACACCTGCGATGATCGGAAATATAGTTCAGTAGTTATCCAGGCAGGCAAGAGAGAGGTGAGGAACGCAGCCAGAGCACTCTTTTTCCACCAATCGTTGCGGGTCAAGGAAGACATCGATTGGTGGAAAAACCCGGTCCTGACTGCTCTTCATTCCACGCCCCCTCACTTGCCCTCCCTTCTGCACGGATAATGACGTGCATCTACGGACTTCTCGATTGAGTACTGAACCTGTCGCACTTCCTTCAGGGATACGTTTTCGAATATATGTATTGCTTTGATATTCTCAAGATATCCCATAAGAATATATCCTTTCACTGGATTATTTTCGCTGAACTTCTTCATGTAGTAGATCTGAAAGTTTGGTACATATTAGAATGGGAAAAGAAAATTCGGTGCAGTTCGTCGATGGACGGGGGCATTCTTCACTTGTGCTACCTCCCGTCGACGTGTCGACCCATCTAGAGAGATTTTCATGAGCCTGCAACAGTTGGCAGGTTTCGACGTTGTGGCTTTACGAGTTTGCTCCAGCTCCACAGAGTTCACAGGTTTCACCAGAGTGAGACTTGTAAACCGGAACTAGTGAAGCAAAGAAGGTGCAAAAATGCTCCCCTCAACCTCGAACTGCACCGAGAAGTCCATATCTTCCTTTTGGTTAATAACTGATTTTTACCTTGGGCATATTGTACTTCCCTTCAGGAATTTTGGCTAGATGACTGCAGGTAGTCACTTCTGCATTGTGACACTGAAATACTTTTATGAACTCATAAGCCTTTTGGTAACAGTGAGTCTCAGGTTCGAATTTCGATTTTCAAAGAGCCTACTTTTTTGCGCAGCACTGTGCTTATCTGATAGATTGATGAACTGTCGTCACAATTTGGAGAAACTTTAACCGTTTCGCGAGCTGCCAGGCGCTGACTTTACAGTCTGCGAGCAGGGCTTTTTACTGAGCCACGCACGCACAATTCTGTATTTCGTCACAAAAAAGCGAAAAATGTCACAAATAGCTCACACGCTTTTGTATCGCTTCCATTTTGGCCAGAAACGTTGTGTCAGCAAAGTGGTCATCAATATTATTCTTCTGTGCTATTTCACTTGATAACTTCTGCAAGGCTTGTTGACTGAGAATCTGGAAAAGATGGCTTCCAAAAATTGTCTTGGTTGTCAAGGTACAGTACAGGTCGAAAGCGCTCTCATAAACGGTTTCCCCCTTTTAAAGGTATAAGGCACGATAATTTGAGTATCTGCTCGAAAATAGTAGCAGGGGTGCGATGTAGTGGAGAAATGACGAAAAAAACGGTCAACCGGCAGTCAAAAGCCTGCGAAAGGGGACTTTGAATGCGCTGACTTTTGGCTGCGAGCTCATTTTTGAAGATGGCACGACCTGCAAAGGAGAAGGCATTCTGTATTAGTTTAGCAGGTCCTAGAAGAGTTTTCAGCCCATTCAATCTTATATCGCCTATCTGCCCCGATCAATGTGCAAATAGGCTGAAGACCGTGAATCAGAACCAGATACAATACCGCCCCTAATTTTTGCAAAATCGACGGTTTGCGACGGATTAATCCGTCGCAAACCGTCGCATTGCCATAACTTCCGTAGAAGTGGTTGAAATGATCTGAAAATTAGACCAGTCGATAGCCGTGCTCATTACGAATCTAACTGTGTACAAATCTTCTGAATTTTCCTAATATTTCTAGCTGATTCTAAGGGAAAACCACGTTTGAGTCTCCAGTCACCTAAGGTGTTACCTGCGGATATGGCCATGTCGTAAACCCTCCACTTGGACCATGATCTTGAATCAAAGTGTTTCAAAGACAGAACTACCGACATATTTGGAAACAGCATGATTCCGTGATCATTTTGGTATCACCAATGATAGGGTTTCATGTGAAAGTTCAGGTGAAAATTTAGGATTAAAAAGATCACTTTGAGTTCATTGCTTCTTTACAGTGTAGCTTTCGAGGAAAACAGTGTAACATTATGCCATTTAGGAGGCAAAGGTAAACAACTACGATATTCGCCCTAATTGTTCGAAAAAAGCGAAGAAAACGCCAATCCACGTTTTTCCGTTTCTTTTTGCTATAACCGTTTCTGTAAGCTTTGCCTACAAAGAAACTTACGCTGGTAAACTCAGCTCGTCGAGTTCTATGAGATGATGTCCTAAAAAACTGAAAAAGTTTGTACTTCGCTTTCCATCGAAGTACCTGAGGACACTCCTTAGCGAGCGAGTCTCGATATAACTGTAACCAGAGGGCAATCGTTGAAAGTCAAGCCTTTCAGAGATGAAATGACGCACTGTGTCGCGTATGAAGTGATTATGTAACTAGGTAGTTGTGTTTTTCAAGTGATGCTGATCATAACGGTCCCATTTTTTCTGGAAACAAAGAGGTTTCACACGACGTCACTTTTAAACGATATCGCTTTTTCAGTTCGATAAATCTCGAGCATTGGTCCAGTGAGGACCACACGAGCACAACGGGCCTAATGTGTGGAGCCGTGTTTTCCCCAACATTCGCAAAATTCAAGGATAAAGTCGAAAAGGAGGATTTCTTAGCTACATGAATTGAGCACTTCGTGCGATACTACGGCAAGTACGCGATTTTGAGCGTTTCCAAACAGGATTTCCAGCGCTCTGAGTGGCTCCATAAGTCCCATAAAAAAGCTACGTACAAAACCTCTTGTGGTTTGGAACAACTTGGTGGGAAACGGTGGCATATTTTAGAATGGTTGTAGTTATCGGATGCCAACTTCAAGACTTCATTCCAAAGCGAAATTCACGTGTTTTTCATAATAAGAAAATCCCAGTCAAAGTAACACCATTCGAATCCCCGTGAAAAATGCTACCTACTCATATGAAAATTACCTCATGGAGCTTTCTATGACCTTTCTCAGTTTTCCCCGGCTTTCTACGATCAATCGACCTCCTAAGTAGTTATCCCACACGCTGAGAGGCATAGTATTGATCAGTCCCACTAATGTCAGTCACCATTCTGGTCTCTTCTATTCACTATTTTGCAGAACAGATCAATTAGAACTGCCGTTGTCAAAAACTTTTCCATATTTTAAATTCCAATTTTCACCGCTTTTGAAGGACATCCTGCTTTCCTGAATGTGGGTAGGGTTTCTCCAAATAGAATTATGGCAAGCATTTCGCAGATTAGTTTATTTGAGCCTTGTATTGGAATCCGCTTTATTCAAATGGGTTGTAAAATCTCATGCACATTCGGCTCGTAATCTGTTGATGATGTGCAAGAAAGGTCCTTAGGTAATGAGCGCAGGTACCGCCGAGGTCGGCAGCTGCCGATCGGAATGATCGATCCCTTGTACAAACGGATGGACGAAAAAGCAAATGAATTAAATATTATTGCTGTGTGGCCATGTAAATAGGTAGTTACCCAGGTAACTTTTAAACGCAAAACTGGCAATTTCTGATTTCAGAAACGGCTTCAAAACACTGAACGTTTTTATAGTCATTATAGTAATACGGAGACTCGTTTTGAAAATCTTACAACAATCTTACGCATCATGAAGAGTGACCAAGAAAACGAACATTATTCAATGGTGAAGGGATTTATAATTCAAAGAATCAATTTTCATCAAAATTTTTTAAATTTGATAAAAAAAAAAAAAAAAAATGCGATATTAAAAAAATGGAAACAGTTTTGACAACGCCAGTCTAATTGATCTGTTCTGCAAAGATAGTGAAATAAGAGAGACCAGAAATGCGTGCATTGACGATTAGTGGGAACTGATCAATACTATCCCTGACACCTTCGGGTTGGGATAACTAACTATTAGGAGGTGATTGATCGATAGAACAGCCTGCCGGGGAAAACTGAGAAAGGTCATAGAAAGCTCCATGAGGTAATTTTCATATGAGTAGGTAGCATTTTTCACGGGGATTCGAATGGTGTTACTTTGACTGGGATTTTCTTATTATGAAAAACACGTGAATTTCGCTTTGGAATGAAGTCTTGAAGTTGGCATCCGATAACTACAACCATTCTAAAATATGCCACCGTTTCCCACCAAGTTGTTCCAAGGTTTTGTACGTGCCTTTTTTAGGGACTTATGGAGCCACTCAGAGTGCTCGAAAATTCCCTGGTATCCTTGGGTAAACGCTCAAAATGGTCTTGCCGTATAGTATCGCACGAAAGTGCTCAATTCATGAGCCTAAGAATCCTCCTTTTGCGACTTAATCCTTGAAATTTTTGCGAATGTTGGGGAGACCGGCTCCACACATCAGGCCCGTTGTGTTCATGTCGTCCTCACTGGACCAATGCTCGAGATTTATCGAACTGAAAAAGCGATATCGTTTAAAAGTGACGTCGTGTGAAACCTCTTTGTTTCCAGAAAAAAAATGATGTCTAGCCAAAACAGAACCAGATAGTTGCAAAACTATCATTATTATTTTCCTACCTAGTAATGACATTGCGTCTGGACGTCATTTTCCAGTGATGGCCGCATTTGGCAACTCGTAGAGGCTAGGTTAGTCAGCCTGTGAGGCCTGACCACATTTCAAAACAAGCGAACTCACTTTTGCAACGAACTTCTCTGGGAGCTCCTTGTCCTTTCCCTGCCAATCAGGATCGATGAGCAGAATCTTTGACATGAAACCCTGAAAAGAGAAGTGATTTCGCATTCTGGTTGCTCACCAAAATCATGGTTGTTCCTGACGGATACTAGAATGAAATCGTGAATATTTCACTCTCTTATTTTCTTGCAACATTTCACGATCTATTACCTTAAATTTTTTTTGAAAAAATTTTGCTGTCCCACCTTGTTCTTGCATGATTGGATAACTGCGGGTCTTCTAGTTTTGAGAACTTATCCAAAGGTCACGTATCAAAGACTTTGACTTTTCCGAGACTTTTGATCTGTTTGACGAGCTTCTCTTATCGAACTCTTTCTCATTTCCTCACTGGCGCCGGTTGAAGGATTAATTTTTAAGCTGCAACATTAGGAAGAACTGACTGTCTTCTCTGAATGTTGAGTCTTCTTCTGAAAGGCTGTCGTAGAAGATGCATAACTCCAGCCAGTGTACGAAATGTTGCATCGGTTGGACTCAAAGTCAAAGTGATTTTTGAGGTGCTTTGTTCGCTTTCTTTCTGGTACAAAGGTCAGAGTCACGGTTCTAAAATCCTACCCACTTCGCAACGGACGCCAATGGAATGGCACAGAAAGGATATTCAGGGGTGCAGAGCTAGCCGGGAGTGAGCGAGCAGAACTTGAGGTCGTCCAAGGCAGTCAGCTTCCCGCTATGCCCGCGTGGATAGCCATCGGTAGTGCGCTCCCAGTGTCCTCCCACAAAAGGTGGACTTGGAAACTGCCAGCCAT